GGAAGAGGGGTAGTCTCTACTGTTCAGTCCATCATCCAGACATGGAAAGAAAATAGCACAACTGCAAACCTAACAAGACATAGCCGTCATTCTTAACTGGCAGGCTTAGCAAGCAGTGCATTTATCAAAACGAAGCCAACAGACAGCTCTCAAGGTGCAGAGATTCACATCTTAGATGAGAACAAAATGTTACCTTTGGCCTACATGCCCAAAATATAGGGAGGAAAACTGACACTGTACTCTGCCCTAAGCAAGACATTAACTCAGGTCAGGGACATGAAAAAAATAGCCTGGTACATTTTGCATGGTTGAAATGGGCAAAACAATTCAGTGTTTAGATGTGCAAAGCTGGAAGGGAAGCTAAAAGTTTTCCTGCTGTGATTGGAGTTAAATATCGTTCTGCATAGTACTGACTCAGAGGCTTTTTATGTACCTCACATGCATGAACTTCTTTGTCTTGGTCAGTTAATGCAATTCCAATAAAGCTCACAAATATTTGGTTTTAAAAAGGCAAAATGGGAAAAAGTTTTAGCTTCATTAGTTTTTACAAAGTCCTGCTTTTTGGCATTTTATGACTTTGGCAAAATAGATTGGATGACACAGCAGAAAGTTTGCTTTCGGGGTTCATCGAAATTGAGATTTAATCTGCTAACAATAGCCTGATCATATATACATGCATATAAAACAGTTACTAATTCCATACAGTGTAATCCAATCCCACTGTGATATAATCTGTTTTTACATAAATTAAATTCAATACATAGAGATTTGAATGTTATTGTCATGCAAAGTAAGCCAATGCTCCACAGTTTACTGTTTAACGAATGCTGTTTTTAAACCCATCAACTGTAAATACCCCTCAAATACATTTATGATCAGACAACTGAAGGATGAATAATTCTTTGTGTTGCAATCAGATGTTACCACTGTTAGGAGAGTTTGTTTGAAAAGGCAAAGAGTTATTCTGAAAGCCTTTTTCAAAGTAGACTAAACACCATTTAGAACCATCAAGCATTACACTTTTGTCCCGAGCACTGAAGGAGACAATCTGCTTTCATTACCAAGTCAAATGTCTCTGCATTGATTATGGCTTTTTATCGGCTTCCGCCGCAGTGGTGGAAACCTGACACTTGGCTAAAGACTCTTCTCTCCTTCTTATGATGAAATGGTTTGATGAGCAGCTTCATTTAGGGACTTATGTAACCCAGTCATCCAAGATGCAAATTCCAAATCTTTTATCTAAAGCAGCTTTTGGACATTGTTTAACCGAGCTGAATTTAATAAAGATGAATTTAATGACGATACAATTACAAAGCAATACTAATCTGCAGAATGTAAAGACTAACTAATAGGGATGTTAGGCAAGAGATTGTACCATTGTCTGTTATACCAAACAACCTGGGGTTCTTCATTTTGGACAGAGCAAGTGTGAAATAGCAAAGATCAGAGTTTGTTGGAGAGGTTGTCCCATCTTTGCAGGTGGTTGCATTGTATAGAAATACTCAAAAGCTTCATTTTAGAGTCCACAAGACTTTACATAGTAAACTGTACAGCTATAAAATAGCTAGATTAATTAGCAATTGGCATGAATAGGGATCATATGAAGGTATAGTGTAGAAAAAAAATATCTTATGATAAAAAGAGATCTCCAGCAGAGCCCCACTCAAAAATTATGTTGCTTTCCATCTTAAACACCTGGGAATAAAAGTACAGTTATGGGTCACAAACACAACAGAAGCACTTTCTAAAGAAAAAACATCCACCAGAACATTTTAAGGATGATGCAAGAAAAAAAACAACTATTGCGTAAAACACCTTGGCAGAATAGGTTGGGTTCATAAAGCTGGATCTAAACTAACTCAAGGAATCATGGGACAATCCCCAGAGACTAAGGTAGAGAAGTTTGTCCAGCATGTGTAACAAAACATTTGATAACATTTACACCTTGATTCCTCCGCTAAATGTGTAGTTAGAAAGGATTGTTTAGGATTGGTTTGCAGCCACTTAACCTTCTTTCTTTACAGTTGTAAGGATATTTCTCACTTCCACTATAATCTTTAGGGACATAAGGGACCATTGGTTGGCCAAGATATGACCTCAATTGAGGTTGATTTGCGACCAACAGAGGTGGCTTTAAGAAGGGTTTACTGCACCAGCCTTTCAGATCTTATGTTGGTGCATGAATCGGAATGATCTCAAGCAAAAACTAAACCAATGCATACAGAAGCAATATTCAAAACAAATTAAAAGCCATATAGATTTTATAAAAAGCAACTGCATACATAAAACAGTTCATAGATCACTGATATGCATGAAATTAGATGTTGGACCTCCCTCCTAAATCAGTCCATACAGTAGAGTCCCAAAAAGATTCATCTAAAATGATGTCCTTGATTTTGTTGTTATGAATACTAACATGGTTTCCTTTCAAAATCTAATGAACTTAGTCATTATCAAACACACATGTTTGTGTTTTTTAAGGCGACGAGTTTGATTAAACATTCCTACAGCTTTTATGTCAGGCTTATTTGGTATAGATAATAATATTTTATAGCACGGAAATATGCTGAAGAGGTAAATAATTGACAAAAATCCCCTCAAAGACTGTTTGAAGAATTTCAACCATTTATAATTTCCTCTTTTACTTGTATGTTTTGTGAAACTATTAGTTATAACACACTGTCTATAAGAGAATGTGTTAAATGACCAAAAAGGAAACATCTGTAGAGCTTTTAAAAGTGGATATATTGGCCTTTTCATCTGAAGATAATCAGGCTCTGATCAAAAGGGCCTGGAAAATTAGTTTGTATATTACTGTGGCTCAAATTGACTTCTTTATTTTCCGACGATGTCATCATGTTATTCTTTATGATTTAGAAAAAATAACATGAGTTGTGCTCCATGGATCAGACAGAATTTATGGGTCTCTTTATGGTATTCAGGCCTCTGTGCTGTGTAAAACAGGGAGGCTTTGGCACAGCGAGGCTATTATTTTCAATTTGAGCACATCAGAGCCCGCATACAATTGCATCTACCTGGCGTGAAGTACAAAAAGGCTCCCAAAAGGGTTTATCCTCTCTGAGTTGATATGGAAATAACAGGTCAGAACAACACAGCGCATCCACCTCCTGAATGAATTTATTTTTATTTTAGATTCCTCGCCAGCAGGGAGAGATCAGTGATCGTGTTGTTTTGTCCGCCATCTCAAAAGCAGCGCAACAGCTGGCTGAAAATTAATTAATTCATCTTTCTAAGAAAAGGATACTCCTAATGAAGTGGTGAGCTACATGACTGGAATGGAGATAAATCAATCGGCTAGAGTTGCAAGGATCACTTGTTTTTCTCTTGCACACGAAATTGATCAGAACAATGTCCCTGCAGGTTAGTCACATCAGCTTTCAGGTTATTCTAATGCTGGATTTGCACCGTCCTCAGGATATTTGGAATTACCTTCCAAACGCTACATGGGTATAATATTTTTATTTTGAATGTCCCCGCACTGTTTGGATGACAGCAACAGTTGATGCTTCAAGCCAAACTAAACACCTTGGGACAGAGCACCATCTGTACTTGTTTATTGGTAATTTCCCTCATGTAATTTTCATCATGCTGTTTATTGGTCATAATTAGTTTTATTATTATTTGTTATTTTACGTCATCTTTATCTTGATTCTTTCATCGGTTTGGTTACTCTCACTCAGACCCCAGGAGAACTAGGAGTTTTTGTTTGTTTTTGTTCCCTTCCTTCATTCTCATTTGCCTGATCTAACTTGTTTCCTTTATTTCTAAAATGCAATATATCCTCCTCAGGTAAACAATATAACAGGACCCTTGGCTAATCAAATCCACTCCTCTGTAACAGCAACAATAATGAAGATAAGGACTTTAATGTTATAGAGCAACATATGTGGCCTTCTAGACCAAACCTTTCTGGTACTATTATATTATGCAAATATCACAAAAGCATGGATGCTTTATTTATTAAAACAAAGCTATAATGCTTTTTAATCCAAAGATGCTTTTTTTTTTTTTTTTTTTTTTGGTCGTTTGGAGGAAAAGCTAATGAAGACACGTTTGGGACCTAAATGTAGTAAATTTCAAAGTAGAAATCTCTGAAATTCGCAAACAAATATAATATTTTTTTACATTGAGCCTTTTATGTTTTAAAGCTTAAAATTAGATTAAGTTTGTTTTCAGGTTCAAGTGCCTTACTTTACACAAAACAAGAAAATCCTTTGTGGAAGGTGAGAAATTTATTTTAAAGACTCAGATCCTCCGAGTTTAAAGTGCAAATTTACTTATATTCCAGTTAAAAATGTATTTAATTGTCAAACAAATGAGGATTCATGAAAAATGAATAACATTTCAACATCCTAGACATTGCAAGTTTCATAATACTTGGGCACAAATAAGTCTTAGAAATTTCCGAGCTTCTTTTGTTTTGTTATTTTATAAAATAAACCGCTTCCTCTGTACAGTTTCTTTTCTTCCTTTATCTGTAATGACCCCGACATGCGGGTGTTCCTTTGTATCTATTCAGTTTGCAAGAATCTCACTGTGCCTTTCAGCTCTTCCACCTCCTGCTTGTTTGCTCTCACTGCTCCTGAGGTTTTGTCAGACACACAGAGGACAGAACATGGAGGAGGAAGCTGCCCCTGCAGCTTTAAACCACGCTTTAACCTCCTACTATCTGCAATTTTAACATAAAGCTAATGTAAAAATGTTTACTGTCATAATTAGCACTTCCTTTTACGATACACCAACTTTTACCTTAACACCGGTGAGGAGGTAGAGCTAACTTTCGCACTGTATGGTAATTACCTTATGATTTTATGATAAATAAAAGGGATGGATAAAACTGTACTGTTCCTCTGTTTAGTTGCAGAATTAATTAAAATGTAAGTTCTTAGACAGGAGGTAAAACCCAGTTTATTTAACAGATCAGATCATCTTTCTGAGCTTCTCTCGTCTCTTTTTGTGCTCCATGTGTCCCTCCCCAGGTGCTGTACCTCCATACATCCTTGCTGTTGCCCGGCACTCTGGCCATCGTGGAGTTCGCGTCTTTGTGCCCCAAACCAGACAGCTCCAATCTGGCTTTGGGGAAAGGCTTCACTATCCTGGAGCTTTTCACCAACAGGCCAGAGGGTCCAAGCACCGATGGAGGCAGAAGGTGATTACTGCACTCTTAATTACAACATACAGGGATTAACGAGCCTTCTCATTAGGACGTGAAGGACAGGTGTATTTCTAATGAAGCAGATAGATGTTGTTCTCACCAGTCAGCTTGTTTGGTCTCATAATGTGCGTCTTTCTTTATTTATTGTAGAAAAGTTGTTGTATTTATGCATACGTGACAGAAACGCTTTCTGTTTTAAAGCCACCTCAGTCTGCTGTGGTGCCGAGTTTAATTATATGACAACATTTAATAATGCGAAGGTTAATAACTAAAGTCCTGAAGCGCCATGCAGCCAACAGTATGGGAATTCTTAGGCTATTAGATGAAGCTTTTATTATGATTCATGCCTTAAGCTTATCGCTTAACTTTGATCATGGCCCATGTTTTAAAGTTAACTAAGAAATAGCTGCTCTGTTTAGAGGATGGGGTTGATAAACATGGATTTAAAATCTGATCTAAGCTGCCCTCATGACTTTAACATCATTAATACGGCCTTATCTGGGTATCTGGTCCAAGCGCTATGAGAAGATATTACCACAGACGCCAGCTGGTTAATGATATATAATTTGCATCTGGATTATTATCAGCAGAAGGTTCGCTTTAAAAAGAAGCTGTTCTATAAGCTCCTATTCAACAGTTCGCTCCATCAGCATCTGGTCGCTCAGCGATCCTTTCGGAAGCTGCTGCATCCAGAAGTGTCGGTGCTTCTGCTAAAACTATCCACAGCTGGAGTCCAGTGATCTCTTCTGTCTCAGTGCAGCTCAGCTCAACACGTCCAAAATGTGTTAAAAAGGCCAATTCAGCCAGACCATCTAATGAGAAGCGCCGCAGCGACCCCACCTCGGTTTCCCCTTTAGCTTTTTAATTGTGTGGAACTAAAATGATATTTCACATTCTTTAAGGGAATTGGGGCTGCTTTTGATCATTTTTAGCTCAGTTTCTAAGATTTACAGCCAGTCTGAATTGGACTCCACATCTGGATAAAAAAACACCACAATTTGTGCTTTATGAAACCCTTTCTTTCTTTATCAAAACAGAAGAATAACTTTATTTGCTGAGAAAAGGCTTTAGTTGCTAAGAAGTAAGAAAGTGGTAAAACTATTGCCTAAGGTATTCATTCACCCATCCAGATGATTGAATTCAGGGGTTCTAATCACATCCATGGAATGTATGGCTGCTTTTACAAACATCTTGGAAAGAATGGGTTATTCTCAGGAGCTCAGTGAAATCTAGCTTGGTTCTGTAATGGGATCTCACCTGTGAAATGGGTACAGTCATGAATTTTTCTCACTTCCAAACATCCCAGTCGATTGTTTGAGGTAAGGTAGCAAAGTTAAAGGGATTGTGGACAATAGATACTGGTCTATGAAGTGGTAGGCCATATAAGATCACTGAAAGAGGTCAGCGGAGGAGTTGGAACAAACAGAAATAGGGTGATTCTTGGTTTTCCTGAAGGAAATAAAATATGAAAAACAGCTAAAATATAATCCTGTTTTTGTAGACCTAATAATGTTTACTGCCTCTGCATTTTTTGTTGAACTACAAGTGAAGTTTCTGACAGTTCTTAGTGTAAAACAAAAATGATAGACATCTCATTGTAGAAGCGTGATTCACACTCTTTCGCGCTCATTCATAGTGATTAGCTTCATATTTTTTCTACTAATAGTTTTTAAAAGAAGCGAGAGTCTTTATGTCGTACTTGTTTTGTTTTTATCATGGTTTCCATTGTCTTGCTGTCTGATTCTGTGAGCCATGTTGGTTTCTGTTTACAATAGTTTTTGATAGGATTCTGCTTTTTATAGTCCCTCCTGTCATTCTGCTGCCTCTTCAGTCAGTCTCCCAATTAGACAAACCAACCTTAGATCCACCCCATCACAGACATCCCAAGTTCCAAAAACTCATTTCAGGGAGATGCTTAACCCCCCCGGGTAGAACGGACTCGCACCGTACCCCATACATACACACTTAAGGCCAGCAACTTCTCAACAACTATTTATTAACTAACAGTAATTTCTTAAACACAAAACAGAACAGTATTGGTCTTTTATTTTTCAATACTTTCAACTTTGTAGCCTTGAACATCGGTTGTGCTTTCTGTTTTTCATGGGACTTCAGCATACAGTGCACCTCTCCACGGTGTCATCATTCCTCACCTTTGCCGGTTCTAGACGGGGGCAAACGGGGGCCAGAAAGTCTAGAGATGATATGCGCTGGAACAGAAATGGTTGCTGATAGGTCCTTTGGAACTACTTCATTCTTTTTCTTTACAAATTCTGTTTTATTAATTATTCAAAAACAATAAGGTGATAGCTTCAGTGGTACTGAGATAGGATCCCAGTTATCATCTGCTAAATGTTTTTTTTTTCACAACAAATAAAAAAAAAGTTCACATTTTTACAGATGAATTTAACAGTTTTTCTTGAGTTCTAATTCAAATTTTATAGAAAACAGTAGTTTTAACTTAAATTAAGTCAAAAATATGTAAAATTCCTAAATTATAAATGTATATTGACCTCATAAGAAATAGAATTTCTATCGACCCTAATTGAAACGAAATTTCCGTTCATGCAGCTCTCTTAATATATTTAAATCTCTTGCCCTGTTTTCTTATTTCATCCTTTTCGGTGCCCCCATGAAAACACGCTGGCCCCCTCCTGGCCCCCTGGTAAATTTGGTCTAGATCTGCCACTGTTCCTCACCTTCACTAGACTTGGATATACTTTAGTATATTCTGCTGTAAAATTAGTCCTATATTTAGTTTTTTACTCGAGCGTTCACCCTCTGCTGTTTCACAGGATGCACAGCTTTGAGTGGTAACTAGGTGACTGTCAGAGAGTAACCCAGAGAAACTTATCGGGCTGATCCAATCAGCTCTCTGATCAACCAGTCGCCTGAAACACTGGTTGAACAGAGCATCGCTTTGGACAGACTTGGGCACAGGTTTCACAAGTAACCTCCTCCCCACACCCTGCGCTCTCTAGTTGTCTGCGCAATCGAAGTAGTTCTTATCCGCACATGCATGAATTATTGCCTGCCCGCTCTCACTCGCGTTAAAAAAACACCACCTCTCAGAGTGTAAAATCCGGGATAATGTATCCGACTCGCGGGCATTCGGGAACAACTATCTATATCAGGGAGACTCCCGGAACTTCCGGGAGACTTGGGATGTCTGCTATCAGACGGCGGTTTGGTCAAAGCGCCCATTTCACCACAAACAGACTAAATTGGTTCCCTGCCTTGTACTCTAACCTACGTTACCGTTGCATCGCAGCATATGAACCTGCTTTTTACCATCTGCAATAAGAGCAGGGTAGGAATTTACTATGCGGTGGGTTTCAAAGATCTCAATACATGTTCTAGAGATGGATTATAAGAAGTTTGAAGGTTAATTATGCAGAGAAGTAACTCAAAGGTAACCTATAAATATTTTCACCTGCTTTTTCTAATCATCAAATCAGTGAAATGCTCTTAAAAATAGGTCAAATGCTAAATGAAGATAGTCAGATCTACTGAAACCTGCAGACCTGCACTTAAGTTCTGTTCTGCTTTATCCTGTAGGCTGAATCTGTACCACGGATCACCCAGAGGCCTCCTCCACCCCTCATTGAAGGACTCACTTGACTGTAAGAATAATTAGTACTCGGTTTTACTTTAGAGTTATGCATAGGGGATCTATTTTTGCGGGGCAGTAAGCCTTCCTGTTTTCCGAATTGGAAAAAGACAAATCTATCTGACTTTTTGTTTTGTGTTGTGACTCCAGTCTCATTTAAAGGGCAGAAAGGCAAAACAGCTTTAAGATTTTGACAGGAAATTTGCCCTTTAAGACTGTTGTTCAGGTATTGTCCAGATAGATCACTGCATTGTTTCCCCCTCCGCCCACCTTTTATCAAACTGATTCTGTTTCAACTGAATCATTTTAAATTCTGTTTTGTAAAATCAATCCATCTTGGTTGTTATTTTGGCTCTACCTATGCAGTGATTGGAGAAACGAGAGGTGACAAAAAGCTTAAAGACGCAGTTTCATTATTCAGTTTCTTTGTCAAAATTTGAAATGTGCATCTAGCTTAACTGGCTTCGTGCTGCAGGATCCAATACAGTGGCAACAAATTCATGTTTAGGCTGTGTTAAATGGCTCATGTTTTTTTTTCATCAGTCTGACAGTAAATCAGACCAACTCCCAATATAGAGTGCATCTGGCTGTGCTCCTCTTTGCTGTGATGTGGAGTCCTTCGAGAAGCATGCTCAGAAAGCGCAGAAGTCAGAAAGAACCGACTTATTCTTTGGAAGCTAGAACATATAGAACCCCTTCCCTTTTTGATTTTCTTGCATCTAGATGTCTTTAGGAGTTATATATCACTTTTGGACTAAGAAGCTATATTTGTTGCTTATCCTGGTGTATTTAATGCTAAATCTTTATGTTTTAATTTCCTAAGTTGGTATATGCTGCCCAGTAGTTTAATGTATACAATTACTAATATGCACATGTTCATGTTAAGATATTCACATAAACATTTTTATAACCTTTATCTTCTTTAAAAGAAATTATAAAAAAATAATGCATTATTTACAGAATGCTTTTAAAAATTTGGATGTTGTGGTTTTTCATATTCATATTGGTGTGGTGTGATGAGCTTGAGTATAAAGGCTTGTTTACTATGTTTTACAAAGTTAGCAGTGGGGACGATGGCAGGTTAAATTTAGGTTAAACTTTTTCATATTTTTGTTATTATAATTCAATTCAATTCAGTTTATTTATATAGCGCCAATTCACAACACACATAATCTCAAGGCACTTTACAGTTCAACAGATCATACAGTCAAATTGATTCAAAGTTTCTATCTAAGGAAAACCAGTTGATTGCATCGACTCATTGACCCGAAGGTAATCCGTCACACTAAGCATGCTTGTAGCGACAGTGGAGAGGAAAAACTCCCTTTTAACAGGAAGAAACCTCCAGCAGAACCAGGCTCAGTGTGAGCGGCCATCTGCCGAGGCCGACTGGGGTTCAGGAGACAGAAGCAGAGATACAGAAGGCAACTGTCCAGGAAACACACAGCCAGGCAGACAAACTCCGAGCCAGCTCCCATTTCAGAGGATGAAGAGAGCACATCCAGTCCCAGTGAGAGAAACAGGACTACTCTGAAAAACAGGCAGATCTTTAACCCTTTTATAATATAAGAGTCTTGCATACAAAAAAAAAAAAACTAGGGATGATGTAATGGTTTTTAGATTTTTTTGGAGAAAGAAGCGTCTCTTCTAAGATAACACCTGAACATAGACAGCTTTTGTGTCTACAACAAAATTTAGACATAATGTTTAATTCTTGTAAATTTCTACAGAAATATCAGGGAAATAATTGTTTACTTCCTGGATTTTACTCAAATACAATTTCCAGATGCCTAAATGTGCCACATTCATCCGCTAAAACAATTACATGCTAGCGTAATCAGCTTGGCTGTGTGTAGCCATTATACCATTCAGGGCACTGAACTTACTCACACACATCAAGTACAGAAACAGCAGCCAATGTGGTTTTTTTTTAAAGGGACATGTTGCAGCTGTGTTCTGCATAAAAAAGCTACAATTTCCCCTAAAGCTGTGTTAAGCAGCTTTTGTTCACTCCTGGCTGGAGGGCCAATCATTGATGCCAGAGAGAGCTGTGCGTAGCTCAAGTCTGTCGTGTTTTCCTCTAAAAAGTTAATGTGACTTATGAAAAACACTAATTTCAAAGCATTTGTTCTCAACACTTCCTGAAAAAGGGAATCATCCTCTACAGATGATGTTTTATGCCGTGAGTGAAGATGAATGGCCTCTACAATAACATTAAATGTTAGAACAACTCACTTTAGTTTAACAAATGCAACCAGCAAACTAGTAATTTTCTCTAGAAAAAATGGGCTTGAGGGGCAGCTTAATTACAAACACTAAAATATTCCATCAATGTATTGTAGACGTGTCTATTTAAAAGAGAATACAAACAAAAGAGGGACTTTGGCGACAGAAGAAGGTTTAGTGTCAGTGAATAAGTGACTATCCATGCTTTTCACATATTTATAAAAATCCTGCTGCTTTGTAGCTTTGCTTTGCTTAGAGAGACGAAGCTGATGCAGTCTCTGTTCTGAAAGTGGAAGGTTAGTTTTAGGCATTTGAATGGAAGGGGTTTTTTCTCCTTGAATATTTGATACACATAAGTTCAAAATTGGAAAACTTTTTATTTCAATTATTGAGCTGCTGCTGTGGCTCATGGTTGAGTTAAATATGTCCTTGGTTGGCTTAAAACCAAGGCTATGAATAACAAAACACTGTTGTACTTTACCGTGCGAATAACATTGGGTCCAGCGAGAGCCAGAGTTCCTGTCTTGGCTATCATGTCACATGAATATTAGAAAGCCTGCTCTCAAACGGACTCTTATGCCCGCTGAATTATTCAATGTAAGCCTGTTGTTCGGTGGAACGTGGCTCCTCTGTTTTACGAGCCATGTTGCCGCCACTCTTGTTGTTTCCATTTTATGGTTGAAACCCTTTTTTCATTTCTTTGCATCACTTGAACCTTCATTCCCTCTGACAGGAGGAGAGGGGGGTACTTTTTGTCTTCTCACTGTGAAAGGGGACTGTAAATTGTATCTGAGGTGCCTGATGCCAAAGTGAGAAATAATATTCTTCATACTGGCCAATTTTTACTTTAAATCAAAAGGGAAGATTTCCCCAGAATTAATACTTTTTATTGATCTACTTAAGTTATAATACATTCAAAATTATGCATCAATTTCTTCCCTAATGCTGTGGACTTAAAGAAAAGGAGATCATGCAAGCAATTTTTAAAAGCAATTTAGTTCCATCAGTTTAACATAATCACTATAGTGCTTAAATTTGTCCCACAGACTTTATAAAAATGTTTTGGTCAAGGAATGATTTTTAAAGTGAACATCATGCTGCATTAAAGAATAAAATGGTCATTCTTTTTATGCAGGATGCCTTCTTTCATTCTTAACTTTTTAATCTCCCTCTAAAAGCCAATCAGCACTGGTTTTTAAACACTGAACTGAGTCCAAAAACATGGTTAACTTGGTTTAGATGCTGGGAACATACAGACACACCTGATTGACACTTTGGCGTATCAAACAGGGCTAATGTTGTTTCCTAGTTTCTGACAGCTGTTCATAGTAGGCTTTCCGCTGGGTTTATTTAATTTCTGCAGCTTCCATGTGAGTTTAAAAGTGTTTCAAAACTGAGTTACATCCCATTTCATTACCTCTGAAGTATTATTAATTCCTTAGACATGTTATAATTCTATTATGGATAAATCCTAGATTACAGTCTGTTCATATGTGCAGCTCATTAGGTTAACTCTTTCATGCAAACATGGCCTTACTTTTTAATATGGTTTCCCAGAATATATCTTTAGTTTTAATGCTCAGATTTCAATTCATACCATGGATGGTTACTATACCGACAGGACGTGTTCTCTCTCGACAGCCAGTAAATTAAAGACAGAACATGTTTTACTGGGGGGAAAAAACCCAGGCTGGTGCCAGTGTCTCTGCCAAAGCACTAGCTGATTGAAGTTGGTGTCGCACATATGTCACCTTTCCTTTCCTCTTCAGATGGCAGCCTCCTGTCCTCACCGTATTCTGTAGAGTGACTAAGTCTCAGATGCTCATCAAGGTTTGTGCTGCTGGCATGAAACCTCACAACCCTCCTCCATCATTTACATACAGCATGGCGCTGGTCTAACAATTAAAAAAAGTTACTGAAGCTCCTTTTACAAAATACTTCACAAGATGGAATCAGGAACTTTTTGTGAGGATTAATCATTGATTATTGGTTAATTCGATTAAAATATGTTCTATCCGATTAATTGGTAATAATTAATGGCAACAAGGATTCAGACCGCATTTTATGTGGTCCTGTTTGTATTAAAAATCTTAAGTTATCACCTAAATAGTGGCCCTTTACCTGTGCTGAAGAGTGGAGCATTGTAACTTCTCTGCTGACTTCAGTAGGGGAGGTTGTGATGATAGAAAAAGGGTGAAAATTATGATGCTAGATATTTGATAAGCATGTAGATGGGTAACTTTTGTAATTTGATTCACTTCATTGAGCAAAGTTTTAACATTCCTCTGTGAGCCACTGGAACCTTCTCATTTAAAAGTGCTGCTAAGGCTGGCATACGGGCGATTTTCTTTTTTTTGTGCAGTTTTTTGGGCCGATTCTTTAGTCATGCGAGAATTTTTAAAATTATTTTAGCCTCACCTGTGTCCTGCATCATGTAATATACAGGGGCGAATAGCCTTTCATGACCATCTCTATATACAATCATAAGGTCAGAAGAAAATCACAAGTGTTTGAAATTCAGTCGACCCTTGTAAGGTGTTCATGGGCAAATCCTGCTGTTGAATCAGAGATACGAGCATCTATGAGCAAATTTATCAGAACCTCACATACTGCGCATGTGCAAACAAGGGAGTTCTTCTTCTTCTTCTTCCAGTCTGACCAGCGCAATCTCCCGGCGCTGAGTCTGACGTGTGGCTTTTGGACGTGCAGCGTGAGCAGTTAGATCACTATACAGTGTAAGAATATAGATCATGAGTTTTAACCTTTTAAACAATGCGATTTCATTTT